AGATTTAGGAGAAAAAGTGACTAGCATTGAGAGTTTAATATCAAAAGTTTACCCAGATATCGTCGAAATAGAAAATAAAGATTATCAATGGATGTGTCAATGAGCAATATTGGCGGCGAGAAACAGTAGTGTTGACGAAATTAACGATTTAATTCTAACTAAACTTCCAGGGGATATAGTCACCTACACTTCTATTGATAATGTAATGGATCAAGAAGATGCAGTCCATTATCCACAGGAATTTCTTAATTCTTTAAACCCGAGTGGCCTCCCCCCACATTCTCTCAAGTTAAAAATTGGTGCCCTAATTATTTTACTTAGAAATCTTAAGCCACCAAATTTATGTAACGGGATTCGACTTCAGGTTAAATTTCTTCGCAATAACGTGATCGTTGCAACAGTTTTGACTGGTCCAGCGGTTGGTCAAACAGTACTTATACCTCGGATCCCAATGATTCCAAATGATTTGCCTTTTCATTTTAAAAGAGTCCAATTCCCAATTAAATTATCTTTTGCCGTAACGATAAATAAATCACAGGGGCAAATATTTAAATATGTAGGATTAGATTTACGGCAAGACTGTTTTTCGCACGGCCAACTATGTATATGCGCGTTGTCAAGATCAGTTTGCGGAAACAATCAATATATTCTTATGCCACAAGAAAATAAAACGAAAAATATAATTTACTCAGAAGTACTTTAAAATAATATTTTAACCCGGTTTAAAGTGGACGGACACTCCCGCCTGTAGTCGTAATTCTTATGTGTCTGGCTGAATGTCGAACAGACAGACAGCTATTGCCTGCGACTTATACAATTTAACTTAATCTATATTTTTCTTAATATTATAAAGCTGAAAAGTTTGGTTGTTTGTTATGAACGCGGTAATCTCGGGAAATACTGATCTGATATGAAAACTGTTATAATATTCAATAGTCCATTTATTGAGGGAGGCCATAATATAGGCAATATTTTATCTCGGTATTTCCACGGAAACGAGAAAAACGCGGGTGAAACCGCGGGGCACAGCTAGTTGAATATATTTTTAGAACTAACTTAACCATTTTAAATACAAGCTCCGAACCAACCTTCATAAACAAACGGTATCGAACAATAATCGACCTTACACTTGCAACAAAAGAAGCAGCTAAACTAATTACGGAATGGCATGTGTTGAGAGAGGCTTCATGCTCAGATCATAGATGGATCTGTTTCGTACTACAGGTCGATATCCCCACTACACCACCATGGAAATATCCCCACAAGACGGATAAAACAAAATACTTAAACAGGCTGACGTCTTCGCTCGCGGGTTTTGAGGGGACAAACACTACCTAGTCAGGTCATAAATTCTGTCACATGTTTAATATAAAATAATTGAAACAAGTTTATTCATTATGTAACCATTTATATACCAAAATGAACTTAACAAAACATAGATTCTTATGACACTAAAGTTTATTCAAAATGACTTCCGTGATTTTGAATACAGGCCTTCAATCTGCGCGGCCAGTCGTCTATCGCAGCACGAACGAGGTCCATGTCAATATCGGCGGCTGCCTTAATCAAGGATGTCTTGAGTGACTCCAAATTGGGATGAGGCTTTGAGCACGCCTTTTCCTCCAAGTGTTGCCATATCTTCTAATCTAACGGATTCAAATCTGGACTGGAGGAGGGCCAGTCTTCGTGCCGGATGAAGTCGATTTCACGCGCCGCCAGCCAGTCTTGTGTGCTCTTCGCTCTGTGAGCTGGCGCCGAATCTTGTTGGAATACCCAGTGCCTGTTATTGAACATGGTATGAGAAACAGGTTCCACAAGGTTCGTCAGGACTGTATTTTGATACACAACTGCATTCGTTTTTACACCTTTCTCACAAAAATGTACCTCTGTTAAGCCCCAATAAGAAACTCCCAACCATACCATGGGCGAGGATGGTAAATTACCTCGTTGGACACGTGGAATACAGTTGCTCGCTACTTCACTACTGTGTGCGTACACCTTATCATTTTGTTTGTTGTAGCTCTCTTCTACGGTAAAAATTTTTTCATCCGAAAAAAGAATTTCTCGATATTTTTTTCCCGCGTACCGCTTCAACAAAGCGCGGCATCTCTTCAGTCTCAGGTCCATTAGACGAGCATTCAAACGATGTCCTGTTTTTCTTCGATATGCACGAAGCCCTAAGTCTTCATTTAACACCCTTTTCACCGTGGTTCTGCTTAACCCCATCTGAAGGGCCAACAGTTTCTGCTTACGTTTGGGATTTCTTTGAATTCGCGCCTTCACAGCTTTTATCACTGCTGGAGTCCTAACAGACCGAGGGCGACCACTTCTTGACCTGTCATCTACACTAGTCTTCATTGTATCGTTTGATGGTACGATAAACAAATATTTTGGTTATATTCAAATTTTTCAATATGTCAAAAATTTGAATTGGCGCGTAACCGCAACGATGCAACACAATAACTGCAACACGGTCTTCTTTAAGCGTCCACTCCATATTTAAAAATGAGTAAAATTCTAAAATGTATACAGTTTTATTTTCATGAACAATTCGAAATTCGAATTCAATAAACTTTTTTGTGGCCAGCATTCTAAAAGAAAAGTTTTTACTGTGTGACAATACTTATGACCTGACTAGGTATAATAGATCAGTCGCTCCTAGGAGAACAGGTAACAGCTGTTACTAAAGCAATGATGGATAGCTACCATGAATCATGTCCAGAAATCACTCCACCAAGGCATGCTGAGGAAAAGCAACTGTGGTGGAGTAAAGAACTAGATAGAAAACATAAGAAGGTAAGAGAGGCCCTAAATAGGGACATAAATACCTCAATGGATGAAGACTGGCTACTATACAAGAAAGTCAAGTCCGAATACAAAAAATGTATCAGAGGTATCGACGCTCGACAGGTTGGCGTTAATTCTGTGGTAATTTTGTGGCGTGTTAGTGAAGTTACAAACAATGTTTGTAACTTAGAATAGTTTTACAAGTGCTATCAAAGGACATGGCTCCTTTAACAAACATTTATACACCATAGGTGTTACAGATAGTCTCCTGTGCAGGGCGTGTATGGGGTGGAAGAAACGGCAGCCCAAGTGTTGCTGACATGTCCGGAAGTCGCTACAGGGATTAGATCACTCCCCGAAGTTGCTCACAACATCAAAGGACCCACTTAAACTTCTTCGGGGAGATTTCGTGGCTCGAATAATTGCATTATTCTTGCCCACGTGCAAAATACGCGCTTAAATGTGGAGTTACGGAAAACGGCTTGTCGATAAATTACCTTATTACTAGTGACCGACCGAAAATTCGGTTACGATTTCGGCAAGTTTCGGCAAAAAAATCTAGTTTCGGTTTCAGCAAAAAGCTACGACTTTCCATTGACGTCCGTCGAGTTTGGTGTTGTTACGTATTTTTACAGAAAGATTACATTTTTATAAGCACACACACAAAGTTTCAATATGCGGAAACACGTACCTTTTGAGAAAAAAATATTGAAAATCAAATATTTTTGCAATATTTATGTCAATTCCTACCGTGAAACTGACGCCATTTTTTATTATTATTGTCAGTAGGGATGTCGATTCTTTCCGAAAAAGATCGACTTTTTTAAATAGATTCGAATTGTAAGCTGACGTATCGATTCCCAAAAAATCGATTTCTAAAATATCTGTATTTTTTTCATGTTTGCATTTATAATGTAAATATAAATCCATTTTATGAGAAAAAAGTTCCCTTCATCATAAAAAAATAAGGGGACTGATTCAGAAGGATTTCTGTATCTATTTTGAGACTGCTACGTCTCCAGCGCTACGAGAAGAGCAGCCTCTACACCTTAGCGTAACAAATCGCAGGCATTTACGCTAAGGCATAGAGGCTGCTCTTCCCGCAGCGCCGGAAACGTAGCAGTGCCTGCGATTTGTTACGCTAAGGCGTAGAGGCTGCTCTTCCCGCAGCGCCGGAGACATAGCAGTCTCAACTTAGTCTTACTTATCTAAGTATGTAAAAAAAATATACCAGATTTCAGTTTATAATAAAAAGATGACATGTCTAAATAAGTTTCGGTTTCGGCTGAAACTGATACCCAGACCGAAGATTCGTTTTCGGTTTCGGACTCTACTTATTACACTATTTAATGTACAAGCATATTTTAGCACTACTGTAGAACAAATGTTCTGTATATTTTTAGGAAGTGTCTAAAAATAATCATACAATTATTCTGTGATTATTTTTTCTTACTTATATGATTATCATATGATTTAATTTTTATTTGTCTAATATATTTTAAATATTTTAAAGTAAATATAATAAAAAATATTTTAGATTTTACTTACTTTATTTTATTGAGTTTAAGACAATTTAATAAAATAAAGTTTAATTATATATTCCCGCTAATAATTCACATGCGCAGAATGCACAGCAGACAGAAACACTTCAAGCCATTATTTAAAAAATAATACCCAGATCATCAATCCACCAAGGGTCAAGTCCCAGTCATAGCCCTTAGCATAAATATATTAATATACTCTGATACTTATTCATATGATTAGGCCATTAGTGTCTAATAAAATATTATACCAATCTTGCAATATTAGTGATGGTTGATTTAGGTGCACACATTAAGCCACATACATAATGATATAAAATATTTTTTATTTTATTTTTTATTTATTACATTAAATATAATGAAAAAATTCAACTTTTTAATCTTAAATATTATCAGACTAGTAAATATTTTTTATACATTAATTTATTTGTAACATTTCATATATCATATGAATAATTATTTTTTAATCATACATATCTCATATAATGATGAGCAACAGCCCTAAAACCCTCTCAAAAGTGAGATGAGGCCATTGCCCAGCAGTGGGACTTTTATTGGCTGTAACTTTACTTTACTTAAATAACAACCATATTTTCATCTTTCCAAATTCTTCCTATTACAAATTATGGCCATTAAATTAATGTTAACATTTAACTTATTTTGAAAATTTACCTCCATTATATAATGTAGTAAGTGAACATGTAGGACAGGCAATAATAATAATGTGTGCAGGATGGGTTTCAACCCATCTTCCCCAGCTGTGACTCTACATCGTAGAAGTAAATCCTGAACTTCTGCACTAATTAGAGGCTCTGGTAAGCAGCGTAAGTATAATTTAAGTACACTGGCCACATCTATTGGATGATGGCCTTCCGATACACATCCACCTGCATCAAGTAGTCTCTAGAAAATTAAATCCAAAGATTATTAAAACCCTAAATCTGTAGTTTTTTTCTTCATTTATGTTTCATATAACAAATCCATTAACAAAATAACAAGTTACACAAGTTTCTTTGAATAATTTTTATAGGGAAAAGTAAAAAAAAAAACCTTTATGTCTTTTTGGCGAGTTTGTGAACCAGCTTTGCGAAATAAACCTTGAATATGAGCATTAGAACGAAGCACTGATGACATTTCACTGACTACAATAGGAATGCTTAGTGTACTTCCACAACAAATTACACTACACGATGGAACCTTAACTAAAGGCGCTCCAAAAACGGCTTTATGATCCTGTAAAAATAAGACACTTGTAAGAATTCTGAATGTCCATCAAAATATAAGTCCATTTATACTTCGACCGGAAATATTTACTTTCACATTTTTTAATATGATTTTCTTTAGGCGATGCTTTAATCCTGCTTTTTTTAATTCCCCTACAATAATTGATTGTAATTTGCCGTGATTGATCCCTTCCGATATTAACATTTTAGGTTTGTGTACTTTATGTATTCATTTGCAAAAAATGATTCACAAATCACCAAATCACAATATCTCAAATTATGTACATACATACTCTTTCAAATGAAATTAATTCGTTACAAGTTACCAATTACCATAGTCAATTAATGTTGGTTTTTGAATTAAGGTAGGCAAAGGACTTAGACTATACAGCCTAGTCAAATGTATATTCTATTCACACAATTCTTTGTATTTCTCAAATCTCCCAAAAACTGAGTTTGAGATAGTATAAACCAACGGAAAGACAACATTATTTCATAGCTTGAAGTAAAAAAATAGCTCAAACGGATAAAAAAAACTTAAGATATAAAACATCATCAAAACACTTCTAACATTATTACCGCTAATAATTCACATGCTCAGAATGCGCTGAAGACAAAAACATTCAAAATAATGATTTTTAAAAAATATAACCAGATCATCAATCCACCGAGAATAAAGTCTCCGTCAAAGCCCTTAAGGATATTTATTTTACAAACAGCTTGGAAGCAGTGGCGTAGCTATATAACCAAGGGCCCCGGGGCAAAAATGAAATTGGGGCCCTATTTAAACTACACTTAATACTTTAAAGGTGCAAAACTACTTTATCATCAGCTCCTTGTCGCCCACTGCAAGTCATAATAAAGCAAAGCTATATACTACGCATAAACATCGATGTAAATGGACACTATTCTCAAAAGTAAAGTAAAGTTGTAAAGTTGCAGCCTATTTACGTCTCACTGCTGGGTACAGGCCTCCCCTCATTTCTGAGAGGGTTTTAGGGCAAGGAAATATCCGCTGCGTTGCCACAATGCGTGTTGGTGAACTTCACATGTCTTCGAAATGTTTTTTTTTTCTTATTTCTCAGACATGCAGGTTTCCTCACGATGTTTTCCTTCACCGCCGAGCACGTGGTGAATCAGCACTTAAAATTGCAATTAACAATTTCATTGGTGCCGGCGGGGATCGAACCCGGGTTGCTCGAGTACTGTGAAGCTTACAGCAAGCGCTAACCATCTGAGCTACCACGGCATTTTGAAAAGATATAATAAAACGAATAACTTGCTAGATTGTTCAGTTTTTGATTTTCTAAGAACTTTCAGTGTCACCCTCGTAACCGACCATGCGGGAATAACTGTTTGTGACTTTGCCTTGGCATATGGTCCGATACAAATGGTTACTTCACCTACGCGGATTCTAGATGTGAAGGATCGTGCACCTTCCCTGTAGGACCTTCTGCTGACCTCTCATCCATCTACAACCCTCTTGGCTCATTGGACCATTGTACGATTCGGACTATGGTGCCACTCACACTCCCATCGTGGTTAGTTTTGCAGATCGCCACCGTGTTTGGCACTATAGGTCGGCTGATTGGGATGGGATGCGGTTTTTTTTGCATCCTTCCCATGAGGACAGGGGCGGGTACGCTGATGACTTCATGTAATGGAACCCCTTATTCTATTATCTGTTTTGCCTGGTTTGCTCGCTCCTGTAAAATTGCATCGCGCTATAATAGGAGTGCTTCACCAGCTGTGTTAAACATAATATAATTTCGCCTTCTGGTCAGTACGATACGGTTTACACAGCGCTCGGTGAGCATAGCACTACTCTCCTTAGACGTCAACTCGAGTGGGCCTGATGGAGTTCTTCCCATTTGTTGAAGACATGTGCTCCCTAGATGGCACCGGTCGTAACGTGTCTTTTCTAAAACTCTTTCTCCCTAGGCGTAGTCCACAACTCAAAGAAGACTGCATTAGTGCACCAGATCTCTAAAAATAACCGAAAATCGACTGCTCGGACCTATCGAATTTGTTCTCCAAAATAATGAAAACCATTGTGAACTGCCAGCTCATCAGGTAGAGGATCACTAACTGAAAAGTGACCGCCAGTACAATTTTCAATGGGGTTGCTCAGCTGGTGATCTTCTGGCTTACCTGACTCATAAAGAGGTGGAGGCAGTGAGGAAGACCCTGGCCGTTAGTTTGAACATAGCGAAGGCCTTAGATCGAGTTTGACACAAAGCGCTTCTTTCGAAGCTCTCTTCCCATGGCCTTCCCGAGAATTTGTGCTATTGAATCAGCAGTTTTCTTGCAGATTGGAGCAGTAAAGCCGCAGTAGAACGTGCATGCTCCATTTAAAAGCACATTTATGCTGGTGTTCCACAAGGCTACGTGCTCTCATCTACGCTGTTTCTTCTGCTTATCAATAATATGTTGCAAACCAGTAACGTGCACTGGTGATGCTTTATACATCGGCTGTACCCATATTTCTCGGGAAAACGTCGCCGAGTACCGGAAGAAACTTGTGTCTGAAGTCGAGTTTTTGCCGGATAAGGGCTCGGATTGGGGTGACTAAATTTAATTAAGTTCAATGCCCAATCATCGGGATGTTTGGCGGTCCACTACTGTCGTACCGATACGACAAGCTTCAAAAAATGAGCTTACTCCTTTTTAAAAAGCCTCTAACGCTTCTGCTATTCCCCTGGTGTTGTATTTGTTAATAGGCGGTGGTCGACACTTGCCATCAGATGAAGCACATTCTCGTTTGTCCCATTCTTCTATATAAAAAAGACAGTAAAACGAAGTAGACAATTATCTTTAACAATTATGTTCTTATATTTATGTTCTGGAAGTGGGACTAATTTTTGTGATTTCAGTTCGAGCCGTTCGCGGTCAGGGGCCAAAAAGTAAAAACTCGAAAATTCTTTATACAACTAGGATGGTACATAATTTTTCGAACGTCGTTCTTGGAGGCCGAGTGGCCCCTTTAGCTTATAGGCATCGGGGCACTGCCACGCCTAGCCCTTGGGTAGCTACGCCACTGCTTGGAAGCGACCACCTCATTCCCAGGGATTATTATCCACCATGTATTCTTATAATAACCCTTTTTATACAGCTTTTGTTTAATTAAATAATGAAACTTGGTAATAGATATACCTTGTATATTTTCTGGGACTTTGTTGTAATAGCGTTGTTACGGACGGCGAGGGGAGCCACCGCCCCGTCGCCCCTTCATACTCCGTTACGCACCGCGCACCCTCCTGTGCATGGTTATTACTGCCGCTTGTAAATAGTTATAATACGTAATCGTCAAGAGTACCATCTATTCTTCCATAAACGTCCCTAGCATAGTTCACCCTACATAGTACATAGTAAAATCAATTAAATTTAAATACAGTCCATTGCAGTCCCCTACAAGCGTATACATTGCCCCAAGAATGAATAAGGGCATCCACGACTTTTTCTACCACCAGGGCGGCGCCACCTAAAAGTGAGGTATAACATTTGACAGATTTCATAGTGGGAAGTTAATTTGTTCGAATAATGTCAAAGTTAATATTTCTTTCTGTACTACATATTAGCTATACATATTACTCGTATTAGCTATATTTTATATTAATAAGATTAAAATAACGAAACCAAACCACAGAGAGCTTAGAGAAGAAGAGCCTCTCTCGGTTTAAGGTTGTAAATATCTCTTATGGCCCTCTTCTGCAAAACAAAAATAGTTTCAACAAATTCGAATCAACCGCATTTTCCCATAAGACATTATGCTATGGAAATAACTAAAATAAACTAATCTAGCTGTCTCGACACTCGTGAGATCTCTAATCATTTTTACAGCATAAGCTGCAGAGCTTAATCTGCTTGCTAGTTTGGATTATCATTTCAACTCAAAATCAATGAATTAATTTTCCTACATACCAAGAATTAATCAAAAATTATACCTTTCATTTATTGAGATATTAGGTATTACTTAATAGGGCAGATACCGCGAAGCAAGTTGTTGGACTACACTTTCACAGTCTAGTAGACCGCGATTTTCTCAGTAGAGTAATAGTGTTCTGTGTCTCAATCAATTGTTATTGACTCGGGATCATAGAATAGAATAACCGAATAACTGCAAAAAAAACTGTGGATGTATAACGTAGCAACAGCTTAATAATTAAACTTGTGAAAATGCCTTCTTGGGTTAAATCAGACAAATAGAACACATAGCTATTGATTCCTTGGATGGATCGCTATTCTTGCTAAATATTTATTAATATGTGGATCACTACGTGGCTGTGTTTTGGAGATGACCACAAATTAATAAGAAGTACTAGCGCAGAGTTGACAAGACGAAAGAAACGACGCGTTGATTTCTCTGAGCCAAAAATATAATTATGATGTAAAAAGGGTTAAAAACAAGATAAAGAGCTTGAGGTCACACTTCTCAAAGGAACATCATAAAGTTACGATGAAAAGGAGTGGGTCCAGAACAGAAGATAATTACGAATCTTCGGGGTTTGCCTAACCGAGGCGCGTGAGATATAGACGAGAGACAAGCGCACGGGTATAGACGATAAGCTGCATGCGTCTTATGGCACAGCGCTTGATGCAAGACGAACTGAAAATTAAAACGCAAAATGAACATGAAAGCACACTGGTGTAGACATAGCTAATGAACGCGGAACCAAAGACTAGAATATAACGCGGAACGTTAAGGACAACGATGCGACGAGTGAGATAGATAGTTGAATCATTGCGCCCTAGACTGTATTTTCATAGGCGTAAAATAAAAATTCCTACTAAGTTATTCGTAGACTGGTTTGTGCAACGAAGACTGTTTGAACCCAGGACGTAAAACGGTTTCATCGTCACAGAATACAAAACGCTTTTTGTAAAGGGTTCGTCGATACAACGCCCACCCCTAGTCATTGGCAAATGTGAAAAAAGCGCGGGAACCTTGAAACATGATAGGCGCCTTTTTTAAACTAAAATTTTAATTTTGTTTTATTTAGTTAAAAGGCACTAAACTTTTACTGTTTTATTATTACTGGGTTTCCTCATCATGGGGAAACGTAGAAAAAAAGTTGCCGGGAGAAGAAGAAGTGTTTGAAGAAACGACTGAGGAGGTAGAAATTGATACCAGTACTGAGGAAGATCCTGAGAAAGAGCAGCGCAAGTATAAGCCGTACTTTATATCTGACAACAACAGGAGGTACC